GGAAGAACAATCAGGAGTTAATGATGTCTCCCAGGTTACAACGTTGGTTGTTGTTGGTGGGCAGCTTTAACGTGGAGATCCGATATCGTCGCGGTAAAGAGAATTGTTTGCCTGACGTTTTGTCTCGATTAAGATTAAGTGAAGGAAATAAGGATAAGGTTCGAGACAATGAGAAAGCATTGGTTTGTTCGCTTTCACATATGCTACGGGGAGGTCCTACCAACTGGGAAGAACTTAAAGTCAGTACTTTAGAAGATAAAGAGATGAGTCAAATAAAACTATATGTAACGGGGAAGAAACAGTGGGAGAATAATGGTAAAGATTTTAAAAAAATTGAAAGAGAATTGTCAGTTGTTGATGATTGTGTAATGAGTCAAATAGAGCGGTAATTCCTTATAAATTACGTGGCAAAATTTTGAATTTATTACATGCGGGGCATCAGGGTCGGGAAAGGATGAAATCTTGGGCGAGGGAATATGTTTGGTGGCCAGGGATGGGCAATGATATTGAAAAAATTACAAGAAAATGCGTTCCTTGTAATACGTGTTCAGCTATGCCCCATAAGGAGGTAGGTCAGGTTTGGCCCCGGGCAAGGAAACCTTGGGAGCGTCTTCATATAGATTTCTTTGATCTGGATAAAAGGGCTTATTTTTTGTTGGTTGATTCGTATTCAAAATGGGTGGAATACACCGAGGTTAAGGGATATACCACCAGAATAGTGATTAAAAAATTACAGGATTTGTATGCCCGATTTGGTTTGCCAGATACCATTGTTTCTGACGGAGGACCAGCATTAGTGAGCGATGAATTCAAACAGTTTTGTGTGGGAACCCAGACTCGACATGTTTTGACTCCGCCTTATCATCCCAGCTCGAATAGGCAGGCTGAGAGAATGGTAGCTGTCTTTAAGAATTGGTTAAGGAAAGCGGTAAATTATAAGGATGGAGCGTACTTAGCTCAGTTGTATTATCTTAACTCACGAAATCGGGAGGGAATGAGTCCTACGGAATTATTCCTGGGTCGGAGGACTAAGTTGCCGTTGGATTTTTTAAAGATAAGGGACAAAGGGAAGGCAGTTCTGGAATGCCAGGAAATTAAATTCGGTGTTGGAAAAAAGGTATGGACCCGTGTTTGATGGGAAGGGAAAAAAATGGGTCAGGAGTATTGTTAGCGAGAATAGAGGTTCGAAATTGAACGTGGTTAAAGTTGGAAAGGGGCGGCACGGTTTTGCGCCATAATGATTATGTCAGAAGTAGAGGGTAGTTGGAAGGAGGTTAAAGTAGATTTAGCTAGGATTAAAAAAAAGAAAAATGATGTATGATAAAGATGTACAATTAGGAATTTCAAGTAGTTTTTTATTTTTTTAGTTTAATTGTGTTGGTTGCAACCCGAGGGTTTAGGCTCATCTTAGAGCAATAGTACATATGTATATTTATGCAAAAATAAAGCATAAGGGTGAAATGAATGTAAATAAAGTTTTGGTTTATGTATTCGTAGTTTAAATTATACCAGGTTTGTAATGGAAAAGGAGGTTATCTCGATAATATTACGAGAAATTAAAGTATATGTAGATATATGTAATGTTAAGTTAAACTGGTTAATGTTCCGGCTGTCGGTAATAAACAAGGAAAAAAGATTGAAATTGTGGTAATTTATTTATTGTAAATGAATAAAAGTGTTAAAAAATAAAAGGAATAGAAGGTGTTGTAATTCATTTCGTGAATATAGTGTAATTATTGTTAAAAAAAGAAGGGGTAAAAAGTTGTAATCCATTTGGTGCGTACATTTTTGTGCATAGCTTTATAGGAAAATTGCGGCTGTTGAACATTAGTCTTGGTACTAGGAAGATATTCGTAAAAAAAAGGAATTAAAAAGTTTTTGTTTTGATATCGTAAAAAAGAGAATTAAGAAGTTTTGGTTTGGTTGGCCGATCATTTAAAAGGAGGAGATTATATATTATGATAATGCGAGAGGGTACTGTATATGGAGTATGTGTTTATTTTTTTTTGTGTTTATTTTTTTATCTTTTCCTCCCTTTATAAATTATATTTTTTTTCAGGCAGCGAGAAGAAACGTTCCATAATGTAATTAATGTTTATGGGAAGAATATAGTATAAGTTGTTGGATTATTTTTTTTAATTCCCCAAAATTGTAAATTATATTTTTTTTTTAAATAAAGAGAATATATCTGTTTTTTTTAAATTGTAAATTATATTTTTTTATTAAATTGAAATTTTTGTTGTTGTAAAGTCATTTTTTTTTACATTAAATCATTACTACCAGTTTTCTGAAAACTAAGATAAAGAAAAAGTCAACGTATATCCTTGAACCAGTAAATTATATTTTTTTTATTAAATTGAAATTTTTGTTGTTGTAAAGTCTTTTTTTTTAAATTAAATCATTACTACTAGTTTTCTGAAAACTTAGACAAAGAAAAAGTCAACGTATATCCTTGAACCAGATATCCATAAATATTTCATCACATTCGAGAGATGGAGACAATCTCCCGACTCGCGGACCTTGGAGATTTTTATCTCCAGGTCACGTTAATCAAGAAGCATGATGGTATGACCCTGGGAGAAGGACGCAGGAATGAAAATCAGCCACCGACATATGGGATTAGACGGAAAAGATGTTATAATTGTCAGGGCGAGGGTCATCTTAGACATCAATACACGCAACTACCCAGGGATCGTGTACCTATGGGGGTGTTATCGGAGAATCCGCAGGTAGAGCCACATGAGGGACAAAAGAGGATATATAACGAGATGAATTTGGGGCAGCCGACAATTTCCGTTCTTATAGGACCGGCCATACCTACTGATAGACGTCCTCCGAAAAGACAAAATTATAATGGAGTGCAACAATTGGGGAAATCTCGCGGACATAGAGAAAGAGATGTGTTGCAGAGAGCTATGGCCACTATAGCCACTGGTGTTCTACCGACGACTAGCGCAGATGATTTTTGGAGCAGTCCCATGTCGGCCTAAGGTGACTATGTATGGGAATATTCGTGTAACATTAATGTAAGCATGTAATTTTTTTTTTCCTCGCAAATATAAATAGATACATGTAAAAAAATTTTTTTTGGTTTACCGACATGCCCTGATCCCATAAAGGGGTGGCATGTCGTATTTTTATACGAATTTATACATTTTTATGCGTAATGCCAATCAACCGATGAAAATAAGGTTGATTGGTTAATAATTATAATAATAAGACACGTGATATATTTTTTTTAGATTTTTTTTTAAAAAATTAAAAAAAGGATTATTATTATTTTTTTGGAAGAAAATTTTTTTTTTTTATATATATAATTATGGATAATAAATTATTACTTTGTTCTTCGTAGAAAAAATAAATCGAGTTATAGAAAAAGGTTGTGTAAATTTTGAGTTAGCCGTAAAACAATAAGATTAGGTTTCAAGTAAAGTCATAATTTTGTTAGTAATCATTATTTAATTAAGTGATATTTTTAAACAATTATTTACAACAGACTTGCATAGGTATACCGATTGCACGGCCCAAGTTTGAAAAAAAATAATTTTGTGCCCGATCTGGGCTTTATATTTTCAGACCCGGCTCGTATTATTTTTCCAAAAAAATTCAGCCCGCCTCGTGCATATAAATTAATTTTAAAAAAAATTCGACCTGGGAAAAATATATCAATTCGGCATTTTGCCGTTCGTTTTTCAGCTAATATGTAAACATTTTATATTTAGAACTGCTAAAATTATTCTATGAATATTGTTTTTCATATAATACTAACGAAAAAAAAGTAAATGTGTGTTTATTTTTGGCGAAATGTATTTTATTTTGTAATAATGTATTTTTGATGTCTAAAAATTAGTCTCAAAATTAATTTAATAACTGATTTATTTAGCTTGTATAGTAAAGTATATATGAACAAATAAAATGGTTTGGTTGGTTATGTTGTAAGTTATTTTTTAATCATTTTTAAATTTAATAATTTAGATAAAAATTGGATTTGATTATTATATATATTGTAATTGTTTAAATAGTTATTCTTTACTTCCTTATAGTTTTTGATTAAAAATCAAAATTAAATTAGTCTCTTAAATTAATTAACGAGAAATAAAATGGAAATGAGAAAGGAATGAATATATATATCATTTTATGATACAATTTTTAATTATATTATATTTTTATTATATATATATATATTCGAATTTTAATATTTGGCCGGGGTATATTTCACAAAAACTTTGGGCCAGGCCATGGTTGTTGGAAAAAAAATTTAGGCCCAGACTGGGTTAATTTTAAAAAAAATTATATGGCCCGGCCCCTATACCCGGAGCAGGCTTATATCCGGGCCTGCAGTCTCTGATTCATATTAAAGATAAAATTTTACAATATTCTTTTTTTCTGAAGAGTCTAGACATAATAAAATAATTAGAGATGTACCAAATTTAAGATCCGACAACGGTCTGGGTCATTCCTCTTTGGGTCCGGCCGGTTATTTTAAAATATCGATTTTATTAACACATTTAAAAAAGATAATTTTGCGTTCTATTGTTTAAAATATGTGGGAAATTAATAAACTAGTTACAAAATAAAAAAAATCAACTTTAGGTGAATAAAATATTGAATAATGTCGATTAATTATATTTATCCGCTGTTGAAAAATGCTAACAAATCTTAATATACATTTTTATTTAATTGAATTAACATTCTTGCGTATAAGAGAGTTAAATGGTTTTTTTATAATATCCGGTATGGGACCTGGTCTGGTAATTAAAAAATTTTATGATCCCGATACCAGTAAAAATTTGATCCGATAATCTCTAAAAATGATGTTTGAAATAAATTTGATAAATAAAATACCTTTCGAGATCAAATTTTTTATATTAAGATAATAGTCCTTACTTCAACGCAAATATTTTTTAAACGTATGTTTCTTTAAAATTTTCGGAATTCAACTTCCCCCTCCCCTCCCCGATCGATTTAGAAATTTAAAAAAATATAATATATTTTAATACCCATTGACGATTTAGCGATCTTTAGTATATCTCTAATCAAAGTTAAATCGTGATTTAAAATATCAGCCAGCTTTTTTTTGAGTTCTTCACTGTTAGTAGCGTTATTAAAAATTCCTTTTCTGTCTCCAAAACATTTAACTACTCTCGCGTAAAGCAAATTATCCGGTACAAGTTTGTAAAGCTCAGGAAAATGATAGGAATACCATTCTCTATAATGTATAAATTAATTGTTTTTTATAAAAGTAAATTTATTTAATCAATAAATAATAAAACAAGTAGCGTTACTTGCTTTTATAATCTTAGTTTGTCACAAAGTAAATGTCAAATATTAATCAAAATTTTATATAACCTCACCATTAAATCATGGAATTTTCCAAAATATAAAAAATTTACAATTTTTTCACTTTATAATGGTAAAAAATTAAAAATAAATTTATGGGTTTCCGTTTTATTCATATTTCGCTTATAAAAACATTTAACCTTTCGCTTTACCTACAGCGTCCAATAACTCTGTTGTCATATTCAATTTCTTATAAAAACTTTCAGATTTATTATTTTGTCCATAATATATCAAAGCATAAAGATGTTGACTTCCAATACTGTCCAAAAAAGCATTGGACACCCCATGATTAAATTTATATTATTATGGTAGTTTATATTGATAAGCAGCGTCTACATAACAGAATATTCACTGGAAGCAAACCCCCTTAAAAACCTATACCTACCCTCCTCCCCCTAAAATAACATGTATGCAGGGATCCAAACCGAACCTGAACCGAACCATTAAACCGTTAAATACCGGGATTTTTATCGAACCTAAACCGCTAAAAAATTCTAGCCGAACCTGAACCGAACCGCTAAAATGCCTCTGAACCGGTTCGAGCCTCATGATGTTACGCCTATAAAATATTGTGTAAGTTATTACTAGTATATTGCAAAAATTTTAATTATATTCGAATTGCTTTAAAGAAAATCATCAATCACATTTGATAGAAATATTATTCCCTATTTCAAACCGGTTTTTAAAGGTTCGAACCGAACCGATATTTTAATTTTTACGAACCGAACCTGAACCGTTATTTTTATCCGAACCTGAACCGATATTCGTTTCGGTTTGGATCCCTGCATGTATGTACTATATAAAATAAGATGTGTAAAAATTATATGACAAAAATTAAAGAAATAATTTTAAAATCTATTAAATGCAAAGATTAAAAATATATAACTAACGTAAAAAGTATATGTATTAACTTTTTACTTGCAAGTATTACTGTTGTTAATAGATTGAGCCGAGTCAACTTAGTAGAATCTTTAATTATATCTCCAATAAATCTAATTAGCATTAACAACACTAATTAAATTTTAAAAAACTCAGTTCCCATATTATTTTAATATTTTATATCAATTTCATTTTAAAAAAAATATGGAAAAATTTCACCACACAAGATATGAACCCTAGACCTTGGATTGCTAGGCAGATATCAATAGAACGGTGAGTTATTAGAGTAAAGTTGGTTTGATTTGTATATATTAGTTAATCAAATTAGATAAATTGTTAATCTACTAAATATACCATTATAATATCAGGATGTGGTATTGACACTTTTATATTAAAATAAACACAAATATATCTTTTTAATATTTTTAATAAGATGAGTATCTGTATCTAAAATTAATTTTTTTATAAAGAATCTGTATATGCATTCTTTTTCCAGAGGACCTGCCCAACTCTGAATATTATATACTGTATATATTTCATATTACTAAACAGAATAACATTTTTAGTCTTAATTATGTTATTTACATTTAACTTTCTCACTATTTATATCTAAAACAAAAAATTATAAACAATTAAAACACATTTTAAAAAAAATACTTTTCGATGGCTTTTAAATAACTTTTTTAAAAAAGATGAGTGCTTGTTCATACTTAAAACAAACAAACAAAAATTGGGTGTCCCCGTTCAAAAACATTTTAGCCTATACTAAAAAGCAATTAAATATCCTAATTAAGTCGAACCAGGACACAGACTTAAAGATAAGTATTTTTATTGAATTTCAGATATTTTTATTACAATGACGATTCTGCAACGTAATAATTTTAATTTTCTCAGAATTTTTTATTGAATTTATTAGAAGAAATATTAAATCACTCACAAATTTTGCTGTTAATATTGAGTTTTATTAATCCTCTCGGTCTAGGTCATGGATGGGGGGTACAATTTTTTAACATACAAAATATTTTGACATGAGTATCAAATAAAAGCTAATAAAAAGATAAATTAATTACATTGATGCTTAACAATATATGTGTCAGGGTGGTGGGGGATTTTTTAAAGATAATATCTTGTCCTTCAAATGAAAGCTAACAAAAAGTAATTATTTACAATGATACTCAACACTACGTCATCGGTATAGGTGGGGAAGGGAGGTAAAAATTAATGTGAACATGGGTATCAAATAAAAGTTAATAAAAAAATCAATTGCATTGATACTTGACAATATATGTCATCCGGGTTGTAGGTGTGGGGTGAATATTTTTAAACATAATACCTTGTCATGGACATCTAATGAAAGCTAATAAATGGATTTTCAAAACTTTATATGGCCAAGGTACTTGGTGGGGGGGGGGGTAAATTTTATATTTAATATATCAACAAGGGAATCAATATCAAATGAAAGTTAATACAAGGATCATATGATTACATTAATGCCAATCACTCTATGTGTCCAAGAGCACGTAGGGGGGGGGGGTGTAAAATTTTCTAACATAATGTCGACATGGACATCAAGTGATAGCTATTAAAGAAATTAATTGATTTTCATCACTCTATGTCTTCGAAGTAAGTAATGGGGTGGGAATTGATTATATTGATACTCATCTCTTCAGAGTGGGGGGGGGGGGGGGGTTAAAAATAGCCTAGCATAATATATCGAAATGGGTAACAAATGAAAGCTAATATGGAGATCGATCAGTATATTGAACTCTACGTCTTCAGGATGAAAGCGATGAAGTTAATAAACATAATATTTCGAAAAAGATCAATTTATTATATGGATAATTATAACTCCATTAGGGTGGGGTGGATAAAGTGAAAATTCTATTAGAAAATTTAAATATTGGTATTTTATAAATGCTAAGGATGTACTTATAAATTTCTACTCATCACTATGTCTTTAGGGGCATTCTGACTTTCAAGCATGGATATTATGAGTAAGATTCCTAAATGTTTAATTTATTACATTTTTAATTAGCCAAAATCATATTTACAAATAAAAAGATTCACTTTTTAAAGGCAATTCGTAACGAGTAGTTTTTACTTCGGGGAACAGGAAAGAACTATGACATCGGGGGGTAATATCATCATTGAAATTAGAGGGTGCAGAGAGGTTCATGGGAATCGGAAGAGGCCATGAGAATTTAAAATTGAATACAAATTCTTAAAATCAATAGTACAAGAAAAAATGTCTGAGACTAGTTCTGAGCGTTTCATATTCTAAGCGATTCATTTTTTAATCTGAGCGTTTTAGTTTTATATCTGAGGAAATTAGTATATTTTTTTGAGAAATTAAATTTTTTTATCTGAGCATTAAAAAATAAATCCAAATACAGGAAAATTTCTGAGCATTAAGTATTTATGAGAGTTTAAGGATTCTTTTTTTCTGAGCATTTCAGTTATAATTCTGAGCGATTAAATAGGAGCCTTAATTTACTTTTATTTTAAGCAAAAAAATATTAAAAGTCCTCATTTTTGAAAAATAAATTGTTAATATATCATTTAAAAAGTATCGACTATATACTGACCGGATCCAAATAGATTTCAGGGCCAGGCCGGTACATCTTTAGTAACTTTATTTTAAAGGTAATGGTGTAATTTATATTTATGGAGTCACAAAAATAAATAAATTTTAAACCTAAGCCTCATGCAAAATTTGTTTATATCTTTGTCCAATTGATCTAGTATAGCAATAGATTGAACTATCATATTATCGACCCGATTAATGTTAAATTTAATTTTGGCACGGGAATAGCTATGAGCGAGACCTAGTTGTGATTTAGATTCCTTTGTCTCGTCAATGAGATTGTCATTTTGGTTCAGGTTTTTAAAAAATTTGTTAAAGTGTTGCCTTATTCCTTGGGGAATGTGTGTGCGTGTTTATATCACAAAAATAATTAGATATTTTAATTTGAATAAATAAAATAATTTAATAGCCTAAAAAACTATTAATCTTATTGACTGGCCGAAAATAATAACTAAATACAATAATAAATACATTTAGGTTAAAATATCAAATATTTTTGTGCGGTCTAGTAAATTTTATACTGAACGATATAATAAGGTAATGAATTTTTCTAAAGTTAAGATAAATTTTATTCTAACTTATGATCTATTGTTAATCTTAATAATTAAATTTGTATGATCATTTTAATATAACTTAAAACAATATAAGGGCTATGTTAATGCATGGTCAGAAGAGCAAAAAAATGTTCATTATGACACTAACCTCGCATAATATCTGGTACAAGTCCAGAATATATACAATTGATGCCGAGATTCGCATTCTCGTTGATTGAATTGCCCAATTTACTATCGGCGATAGCTAGTAATACTTTTTTTCTGTCAACGTTAGAGACATTTTTAGGTAGATAAGTGTCCAAAAATAAGTATAAATCCTCGTGAACCAGACCTATTAAAAACATGGGTAAGAAGAGTCTAATTGATTAATTAATAAATGACAGAGGCCTGTGAATATCAGATTTTAAGATTGCTTGAAATTATTTTAATGACCCGCCTTTTGCTTTAGTTCGGATTATTTGATTTTAAATAGCTTTAGATGTATTTGGAAATCGTTTTTCAAAGTAAGAGAAGCATAGATCTGCAGGCCAAATATCATTTTATAAATCTGGGTTGATTTCTTTACAAATCCTAACGTGTCAAATTTTAAAAATAAAATATATTAAGTTATATCACTAAACTATTTGGAAAATCAAATAATGCAATATTTAAAATTCATTCATTGGATTTTCAATTTTCGTTTAATTTATAAAATTCAGGCAAAAATATTTAAATCCACGAAATTTTATTTTTTTAGACCCAATTAAAGATAGAAAATACGAGCATGGCTAAAAAATTAAAAACTGGACTCAAAAATTAGATTTCCGCAAATTCTGATAAGAAGCAATAATTTTTTAATGATCCAATATAGAACCCTGCAAAATAAAAAAAAAATTGGCACAAACCCAACCTATTTGTAAACTCGGCTCATGGCCAGACATTTTATAAATAAATTGGAAATATTCAAATTCAAAATATTTATTATATTCTTTTTTTTAGATGTTATTCATTAAATATAAGTGTTCCTACGATAATTTAATATTTTGTGTTTTATTTAATTTATTACAAAATAAATATAAATATTGCCCTTAACTACTGATTATTATTAAAATTTATCTTATAATTTTGATAATCAATGAGAAAAAAAAGGAAAAATTGGAATGATATATAAACTCCCTGCAGGATAACCCATTACATGATTTTTCAAATAGTTAATTCGGCCCAGATTTCGTTATTTCTTAATTTTTAGGCCCATCATAGGTTTATAAATTTTTAATCCTATTTCAGCTTATATTTCTTTGAAATTCGCGCCCCCCTTTTTTCACATATGTTGGCCATAAGACCCCTGTCAAATTTTAAAATTGATAAAATGTTGAAATTTAAACATTAAACATCATAATTACATACATCTATAAAAATGATAATTTTTAATTGTTTAATAATATTTGTAGTAATTAGCTACCGAACAAGGTGACAGACAAAAATAATCAATCCACATCATATGGTTTTGGAGATAGAGCAAAGTTCGAGAATGATTAAGGGGGATTATGGAATAAGTTGAGGATGTTTATATTATATGTTTATGATTGTATTATTATGGTTTATTTGATTGCAATAAAGATTATGAAGTTTTTTATTATATTCAAATTGTTTTTTTGTTTTGGGAGATTAATAGTTTTGTAAAAGAAATAATAGTACAGAATATTAATTATTTTTAATTCAGACGATTGTAATTTTTGGTAAAATTTAAATAATAAGTTAATTTTACTTTTTTTTCATTTATAGACGAATTGGATGTTAAAAAGGATCATTATAAAATTTGATTAATCAGTTGATAAAAAAAGTTTATAAAAGGAAAGAATTAGTTTTTAATTTCACTTTTTCTTATTATTTTTCTATTTTTAATTTTTAACTTTAATCTTATTATGTTTTCACTGTATAATTATTATTATCTAATATATATAATCTCCATAATCAAAACATGATAGTTTTCGTATCTTCCTAATGTATTTAAAATTTAAAAAGACTATATAGTGTAATGTTATTTTTTTGCTCTCTACGAGAGTCGAACCACAAACCTCCCGTTTTAAAGTTGTATGTTTTAAGCATGCAACAACTTGAATATAATTAAAGAGAAGATTAAAATATTAATTATATATATATTAATTAATAGCTGATATTTTTAAAATTTTGCCGTTTATTACCATACTAGCTGACGGGGTTGAAGGGTAATTATTTAGTTTGTGTGTATGGTACTAAATATACTTTATTAGTAAATTTTATATAAATATTAAAATTTAGGAGAAAAGGAGGTAAAATTCTGCATTGTATACCTGAGCATGTATTAAAAATATCAAAATTTAAATTTGTGATGGAAATCATATTGGATAAAATATAGTCAGGCCTGATCAAAAAACCAAGTCCCATGCAATTTTCATAAAATTTTGCCATTTATTTTTATTGTAAAAAAATGTCTTAAATTTAATTTTATATTTAGAATAAAATTTAGATTTGTGATAGAAATCATATTGTAAAATATAAATGCTTGAAAATTTTTTAATTTTAAATATGGGCTAGACATTGGCCTGAAAATTTTATTTTGCAGAAATCGCCAGACCTAATTAAAAAACCAAGTCCATGCAACTTTCATATTCTGATTTTATTTTTAAAAGAATTATGACTTTTAAATATTTTATTTCAGTTCTCAACTAACAAAATTATTATGGTCTTTGGCGGACTTGAGAAAATTTTCCCAACAATATGGTTTTCAGAGATTTACCTATCTCCAGGCTTGGGAAAAAATTACAAAATTATTATGGGTTGGCCAGGTTTGGGAAATAATTTTCAAGCATATCTTTTTTAAATTTTACACAATATGATTTCTATCACAAATTTAAATTTTATTCTAAATATAAAATTAAATTTAAGATATTGTTATTAAATTACATTGGAAATAAATGGAATATAAAATTAAATTTAAGACATTGTTATTAATTACAATAGAAATAAATGGCAAAATTTTATGAAAGTTGCATGGGAATTGGTTTTTTGATCAGGCCTGGCTATGTCTGCAAAAAAAATTTCAGGCCAATGTCTACCCCATATTTAAAATTAAAAAATTTCCAAGCATCTCTATTTTAAATTTTATTCAATATGATTTCTATCACAAATTTAAATTTAATTCTAAATATAAAATTAAATTTAAGACATTACTATTATACAATAGAAATAAATGGCAAAATTTTGGGAAAATTGCATGGGACGTGGTTTTTTGATCAAGCCTAGCTGTGTCTGCAAAACAAAATTTTGAGACCAATGTCTAGCCCATATTTAAAATTCAAAAATTTTGAAGCATCGCTATTTTTAATTTTACCCAATATGATTCCTATCACAAATTAAAATTTTGATATTTCTAATATCCTTAATGCTCACGGGTTACATTGAAACAATTTTTCTCTTTTTCTCCTAAATTTTAATATAAAGCATATTTAGTACCATTTACACAATCTAACTAATTCCCCTCAACCCCGTCATTCTTGACGGGTTATTAGCTAGTATTATTTATAATTATGCAATAAAGTGATAGTGATATATATATTAATTATTTTATTTTTCTTTAAAGAACTTTTTCATTTTTACAACATTGACCGGGCGGATTGGTAAAAAAAATTTTAAAACAAAGGGCGTGAGAATGAATTTTAATTTTTTTTATAGGAATGAGCAGAAAGAGATTAAATATAAAAATTAATTTTTTATTTAATAATATTGCAAATTTATAAGTTTAAGTAAAAATATAATAAAATAAAATAAAGAACTAAACTTACTAATATTGTAATTTTTTTAAATACGCAGGGAACAATTTTTTTTAAAATAACTGGGTATATGTTTTTTAAAAGATGTATGAGCGAGAATTCTAACTATATTCCCATATAAATCCTCGTATACCGCGCCTAATTTTTATAATATTTTGATGGTTATTTTTCAATGAATTATATAAATAAATATTGCCGATCCGATCTGACACTATTGCCGATATTAAATTGACATCGGCAGAATACCGATCTGATATCACTAATCTGATTTTGTTGGTTATATTTAATATATTTTTATTGTACCTTTATCAAATTTAATTAAATGTGAAAATTCCGGCAATGTGAGGTAGTGGTAGGCAGGGTAATTTTGTTATTTCGGCAAAGTATACATTGCCGAAATAACCAGGCAATGTGCACATTGCCGGGTTAAATCAGGCAATGTATTCTATTTTACAAATTAATAAATTTTTTATTTATTTGAGATTAATTTATTATTACTTTAATAAATATTTTTAAATATATTTTTTTGATTGATTTTTTTTTAAAATATATTTTTAATTTGTTACAATGTATTTTTTGATTGATATTTTTTTTTAATATATTTTTTTGATTGATTTTTTTTAAAAAATATATTTTTAATTTGTTACAATATATTTTTTGATTGATATTTTTTTTAAATATATTTTAATTTGTTACAATATATTTTTTGATTGATATTTTTTTTAATATATATTTTTATCGATAATTTTTTTAATTTTTGTGTTATCTGTTTTTTTAATAAATTTTTTTAAATATATTTTTTTTGATTGATATTTTTTTTAAATTTTTTATTTTTTGTGTTTATATGATTTTTTTTAATATATTTTTTTGATTGATATTTTTTTGATTGATATTTTTTTTTAATATATATATTTTTTTAAATTTGTATTTGATATATCTTTTGATCGCTAATTTTTTTAATTTTTGTGTTATGATTTTTTTAATAAATTTTTTTGATTGATATTTTATAATATATCTTTTTAATAAATTTTTTTGATTGATATTTTATAATATATCTTTTTAATAAATTTTTTAAACATATTTTTTTGAGATATTTTTTAATATATATTTTTAAAATGATTATTATATATTTATGTTTTACGTAATTTTATCTATTATATATCTTTTGATAGATAATTTTTTAGATAATCGTGATGTTGTCATAATCGTTATTTTTAAACTTTTTTTAGTTTTTTTAAAGTAAATGGGTAAAAATATGTTTTGTAAACATGTTAAATTAATATTTGAGTGAAAGTGTACTATGGAAAAGTGACAATTGTCATAATCGTTATTTTAGAACTTTTTTAAGTTTTTTTAAAGTAAATGGGTAAAAATATGTTTTGTAAACATGTTAAATTAATATTTCAGTGAAAGTGTACTATGGAAAAGTGACAATTGTCATAATCGTTATTTTAGAACTTTTTTAAGTTTTTTTAAAGTAAATGGGTAAAAATATGTTTTGTAATATGACAATTGTCACTTTTCTATAGGACACTTTCAC